GAACCAAGCATAAAAAAGGTAGGTAACACATTTTAGCAATACCTCAATGGTGGTTAGGAAATTTAATAAAATTACTATTATATATCCAGGGGATTTTAGTATACCTGTTAATGTTTACGTAACGTTAATCTTTTATTTCTTTTGTGTTCTCAATACCGTGTCGATTGTGTACTTCAAATGCTATACTATTAGCGATGAACCAAATAATTATTTAATTAATCTAAAGATTATTATGTGTAGTAATGTAGTAGTAAGCTGCTGATATTTACTTTATTAGTCGTTCCACAACCATTTCTATTTGCATTTTTCGTCAATGTAGTTGCTTAATTGTTATCGCAATTTTTTTTATATGCTGCCAGTTTAAGACCAAGACTGACTTCGAATTGCAACTTCATCTAGTTTTCTCCCAAAGTTTTTTGTCCCTTAACCACGGTGCCTTATTCACCACGCTATTACTTGTAGTTAACACCCTCCAACGCGTGCTATTTATTTCAGAAACACCAACATAATGTTAACAAGGATTCTATCAGTATGTGGACACAGTTTTGTTTTATTTTTTTTTTTTGTAACTATTTACTAAGTGATTGCTCAAAACGTATTTTAAGTTTGTATTAGAGTTATTGTGTTTACTTAGGGCTATTTCCGTATTTATTCCTAATAATTCGAAATTTTTGGAAGTATTAAGACTGTATGCCTTTATTTACAAAATCTAGCTCGTTACTAGTAAAAGAGACATTAGTTAAATTAACAGTTCTATCATAAAATTCAAAAGCAGAAAAGGTTTTAATACGTAAAGTACTTTTTACTGAATTTAATAGCGAAGAAAATACGTCCAAGTTATTTGCGAGTACAATTTTGCGCACATTCGTTTGAAATTGTTAAGTCGGCTCTCAATTTTTTTCACTATTTAAATTACTCTTTCGGCCATTTTTATAGTGCTAATAGCGAATTTCAATATTGTATACTACTTATAGGTACTTTAACTGCTTAGTGAACATTTTCAGAGAAAAGTTGTTTATGTATAATAATTACAGTGTAAAACACAATAATTTGCATACTAATCGCCATATCGTAAAATTACGTAGAGACTTTAAAGAAAAACACAAATACCAACTTTTTTCGGTATGCGAATTCCCAATGCCCACGTTTACTAATTGTTATTGGTAAGACAAAGCATGTACCAAACTTCACTGGCAAAAGTCCAAAAAAATCTTTCATTTTGTATCAATCCTTATATATACTAGCTTATTTGATAAATCCTAAGATTTACAAGTAAAACGTATGGTTTATTAGTAATATTCGAGATTCTACGGTAACATACTTGTTAACTTTAAGTAGAATATTAGTTTATTTCATGCCTTAATCTAATTGAAACCGTAATCGTAAGTACTTAAACTACGCTAATTAATGGTATATTGGGTTTATAATAAGCTGCTGGGACGTATACCTGCCGGTTTTAGCTGTACGTAATTCCTTGCTTTCAAACCAAGATATTGTAACAAGCACGAGTGTGCGTGAACGGCTTATCGATTCTCCGACCAGCCCCGGCCGCCTTTCTTCATGTGCGCCGTATTTATAAATGTTTGTGTCGTATCTGCGTTCTGGGAAAGCTGTTAAACAGTTTAAAGAAAAACAAAACGATCCGGATGTTTCTAGAGGGTTCCAGAAAGGAAACAAAAAAGTATTTAAAGGAAGAGACGATCGTCGAGAGAGTAGAAATAAATTGACCGTTGCAGAAGTGAATCGAGAAATAAATTGACAGTGATAGCAGCGAAATAAATAGCGCAGTGAATAGTGATATATCAATAGTAGTGTAAATAAATAGAATAATCCATAACCTAAGTAGTAATAATTTAATAGTGTTTTTAAGTTAGTGTAAATAAATAGTTTTGTCGTTATCAGTCTTATAAGTTAATTTTGTTAAACCCACGAACATTACAATATTATCCCATCTGCTTGTTGTTATACTTCATTTACTTTATCTAGCGATGTTCCCCTTCCAATGTCTTCGATGCGCGCTGGTAACGTAAGTAGGGAGAAAAAAAATCATTTTACTCTCGACGCTTGTTCATTAAACATACTTTTTCATACAGTACCTGCCAAAAGTTTTGTTCAATCATGAATAGTAGTGCGAGTCGAAAACAAGCGTTAAAGCCTTTAATATGTCTTCAAATATAAATAAACATCTCGTTGATATTT